CTATGAGCAATGACTTGATAACTCGATCTCGTAGTTCTAAAAAGGTGAAGATGGAGTCTCGCAGTTAAAGACTCCCCCAGTTCCGATGCTAACAGTGTGCTTTTTGTGTTGAATCTAGACAAGTATCAATTTTAAGAACTAGGCACGAAGAAAAAGGCTAACAGTAAAATCTAAATTCCAAAGACCTGGCAGTAGAAGAGATTATTCAAAGCTATCTTACCAGTCAGTCGAAGTACAATTCCAATATATCACAATCAAAGAGAGTAGGCATATGAATCCTTAAAAGTATCCTATGTTGTTCAATAATACATACATTCTCCTGACCCCAAATCTTCAACTATGTCATGAAGATTTGTAACCCCCATGAAATAGTATTATACAAACAAAGCCTTCCAATTTACCATGTTCTTTAACTCGGTACTCATCAACATGTACTTAGTGAGAATAAGCTGTCCAGTCCACCATTTTACGTTCAAACACTTGACGGCACAATAATCAATGACATAAACACTTGAAAAAAAAATGACAGCTTAAATTACTCCAAGAAATATACGAGGACACTTAACCAATAAAGAATATTTGCCTAATGCTGGGAATATCAGATCATGTTATGTTGCTACTTAAACCATCTGGTCTGAAGAAATGCGTTGATCTAAAACCAGGGTGATGGGGACATTTAACCACAATTAACAATGAAGGCATAAAATATTCTGAGCATAAATTCAAACAAAAAATGTACAAGTCTGCCTTCTTACCACCCATTATTATGTCACGTGATAACAAGAAGGGGGCTTGGCAGGGAGACTCTTGGCGCCACATCTGTAGCACAATCCAGTCATTGACATAAAATAGAAACAAAAGGCCGGAAAATTTGGTCCAAAAAAAAAAAAAAACTTCTGATGTTGGCATTGCCACAAACAAAATTATTTTCGTAATTGACAGTAGAGAGAACGAGAAGAAAGATAATCTATTTATGCAGAAGATTCCTTGGCAATCTTCTCTGCCTTGGCAATGACCTCTTCGATTCCTCCAACCATGTAAAATGACTGTTCTGAAAGGTCATCATACTTTCCATCCAGGACTCCCTGTTGAAAAACAGTTGAGCAATGCATCAGCATCACAACTTACAACATCATACTGACCAAAGCACTTGTAATAAAGAAAGGAGGAAATAGTCAAGAGGAAATATTGACTAAAATCCTCTTCAAATAGCATATTATAAACCAGCAATGATAAAGACAACACGGATTGTTACATTAGTGTAAGAAAAGAAGTTCAAAATCCCCAAGAAAAAGCAGTTCATGAATTTAGACACATTTTATTTTCCCAACATGCTTTCTTCTTTACAAACACGTAAATTACATCAGATAATATCAAATGGAAACGTTTAGCTAAATAATTAACAGATAGCAAAAATAAAGCATGAGCAGCAAAGAAATCGTCTTTACCTGGAAGCTGTTAATGCTCTCCTTCAACTCAACATATTTGCCAGGGGCACCTGTGAAAACTTCTGCGACATGGAAAGGCTGGCTCAAGAACCTTGAAATTTTACGAGCACGTGCAACAGTCAATTTGTCGTCTTCACTAAGCTCATCCATTCCAAGAATGGCAATAATATCTTGAAGATTCTTGTAGTTCTGGAGGACTTTCTGTACCCCACGGGCTGTGTTGTAGTGTTCCTCTCCCAAGATATGTGGGGAAAGCATGCGAGATGTTGAGTCAAGTGGATCAACAGCAGGATATATACCAAGCTCAGAAATCTAAATAAAAATAACAAAAGTCAAATTGTAGGTTACAAAGTTTTTGAAGTAAAAGAAAGTCTAAATTACCTGTCGTGATAACACAGTTGTGGCATCCAAGTGAGCAAAGGTGGTTGCAGGGGCTGGATCTGTCAAATCATCAGCAGGCACGTAAATGGCTTGGACAGAGGTAATGGAACCTTTCTTAGTTGTCGTGATACGCTCTTGAAGGCCTCCAAGATCTGTAGCCAAAGTAGGTTGATAACCTACAGCAGATGGGATACGGCCAAGCAAAGCAGACACTTCTGAGTTAGCCTGCAAATAAGTTAGCAAAAGAAATGAAGACATTGTATTATCAACATGTGATCCGAACACAAAATACTTAATCAAGAATGAACAAATAATGCAAACTGACCTGGGTAAATCGGAAAATATTGTCAATGAAGAGAAGCACATCTTGCCCTTCTGCATCTCGGAAGTGTTCTGCCACGGTCAGTCCAGTAAGTCCAACACGGGCTCGAGCACCAGGGGGCTCATTCATTTGACCATAGACTAGAGCACATTTGCTATCAGCCTGATAAATAGTTATTACATGAATATGAGTAAACCTAGTAATAATAGTAAACTAGCAAAGGAATATTAATTGGATCAAACAATTAAGAAAATTAAAATATACTAACCTGCTTATCACCTAGCTTAATGACGCCACTCTCAATCATTTCTCTATACAAATCATTACCTTCTCGAGTTCGTTCTCCTACACCAGCAAAGACAGAGAAACCACCTGACAAGGAAAACAAATGGCAGAAATCAGAGCTTTATGCAAGCCAGGGCTCTATGAGATACAATGCATAGAAAAAAAAACTAACCATGAGCTTTTGCAACATTGTTAATCAGTTCCATGATAAGTACAGTTTTTCCTACACCAGCACCACCAAACAGTCCAATCTTTCCTCCTCTTTGGTATGGTGCAAGAAGGTCGACAACCTTATATGACAATTCAACACAGAAAATTGGTGACCAACATAAAGAGAGATGAATTTCAAAACTATTATAAATAGCAGGTGGATGAGAATGGAAGCCATCAAAGTACAGATTAGACCTCTAAGAAAGTACCTTGATACCAGTGTCAAGAATTTGCTGTTCAGTTGCTTGCTCCACAAAGGCTGGAGCTTCACGATGAATTGGCAAGTAGTGATCAGTTTCTGCAGCACCATTCCTTTGTTAGTAAAGACACAAGCCTTCTATAGTCACTTAAAAGAGTATGGATCATTCAGAAGCAACGCCACTTACTAATATCGCCTCTCTCATCAATAGGCTCTCCAATGACATTCATGATACGGCCAAGAGTTGCTCTACCCACAGGTACCTTTAATGAAATGAAGAGAAACAAAATCACCATCATATGAAAAATAACACTCTTAGAGGACATAATCATAAAAACCTTCAGAAATCAAAGTAAGAACAATCTGAGTAATATTCAACCATCGCAACCAGAAATTCAAGCCATATTTGAGGCTTACAACATCAAGTCTGCAAACCGTTTGGAACAGAAAAGCACATGGAATGTGAAGACCTAAACAGACATCAGATATATGTTTAAAAACACCTTAGTCAATGGAGACAAGAACTCACCACCATAAGACTTCAACGAAGAAAAAAAGATTACTCCCTTTCAATTAAAACCAAACCATTTCAGAGATGCTGAAGCCAACCATGTCAATCATAAATCCTGACATTGCTTTTAAAAAGGCAAATGTAAATGTCATTTGGAAAAGTTACTTTACAAAAAATACCATCCTTTAGTAACATGACCCAAATTTTAAGATTTACTTCGCAAAATTCAAAGCTCAAAATAAATTCAGTCTTTACTATATTAAGTCAAAGAATTCAAAATTTCTAATAAAATAATAAATCAATTTCTAAATAATTAAGTTCCCAAAATCAAATTGAAACAGCTTAGATCCACATCAAAGTTCAGATCTAAACCTATGTCTTGCCCAAGCCATAAAATCTAATCAAAAGCACAGATTTAAAAAAAAAATCAAATTAAATAGAGCCCATTTGAAAAATATATCAATTCAAGAGAATAGAAAGTCTTCAAAATGTATAATATATATCTGAAACGACAACTCACGGTGATGGGGGAACCAGTATTGAGCACGCGCTGGCCTCTAACAAGCCCTTCAGTACCATCCATAGCAATACACCTGACCACGCTCTCACCCAAGTGCTGGGCCACCTCCAAAACCAGCCTGATCTGATTATCCAAGACCTCCAACGCCGTCAATATCGGAGGCAAACCATCATCGAACCTCACATCAACCACAGCACCGATAACCTGGCAGACCTTTCCGATCGCACCTTTCCCTGTAAACTCATCGGTGATCTTCCCACTGGGACCTCCACTGGTTGCTTTGGGCGGAGGTGGCGGGGAAGAGGGCGCGGCAGCGGAGGTGGCGTACTCGGCGACACGGTGGAGGAAGTGGCCCACAGGAGATGGCCGATGCCTGGGTTTGGGGGCCGAGTTCAAAGCTCTCGATAGAGAGCTACGGGAGGCGGAGGAGCGGAGTAATGAGGATAGGAGCCTCCGCGAAGCCATGGCAGAGCTGTGATGATTTTCTAGAGAGAGAGTATAGAAATTAGAGGGAGAATGCTAGGGTTATTGTGAACTGGGAATTGGGAGGTATAATCGAGAGAGAGAGAGAAGGGTAACAGGTAACTGGGTAGTGGACTGTTCAGTGTCGACATCTAGGATAAAAATTGCAACATTAGTCCCCAAGGCTTTGTAGAAATTTGGTCTCGACCTACTAATTATTACGCGCGATGTTTTTTGCAAAGCCACCATGACAGCATCGACCATGTGCATAGTTTAAGAAAGCAAAATCCTCCACCTCGATCCGCTTGTGCTGCCTCATCCAATATGAAGCAGGAAATCCTCATCTCGAATAGTAACAAGACGAAATGGAGAACATGTCCATGATCTGAATTTCTAAAAATCATCCAAAATCCTTCTTTTTTTTAAAAAAAAAATTATATTTTCAATTGTAACAATAACTAAGAAAATAAATAATTAATCAAACAAGCACTATAAATTATAATTTTTTAGTCCGTCCCGCCCCATTGTCAATGATCAAAATGATGGAAAATTCAAAATAGGCATTAGAGACTAACATGGTTGCCAAACTAGTAAGTTGGCGACAATACCGTCAAAGATATAATTTGAGGACCAAGTCTACGAAATCTGTAGGTTGGACACCAGCACTTCAATTTTCTCCATTTTTCGGGTAAATAAATAAGAAAAGAGTAATGTTGAGGTTGCAACTCAGTTTATGTGACGATAAATGAAATGTAAAATTAAATGAATGTCGGGTTAATTACCTCAATAGTCACTGAATTTTACCTAAAGTTTCCACCAAGTCACTGAATTTTAAAAACTACGTGGTTAATCACTTAACTTTGAAACTGCAACCCCATCCATCACTGAACTTTAAAAATCACGTCATTCATCACTGAACTTTGCAAAAAGTTTCCTTGATGGTCACTGAATCAGTGACCATCAAGGAAACTTTGAGTGACCATCAAGGAAATTTTTTGCAAAGTTCAATGGCTCCATAGAAATCTTTTGCAAAGTTCAAAGGATTGGTCAACGGCGTGCGGCCTAGGCGCGTGACAAATTGCGCACGTTGAGTCGTTGCCTCCCGCAATCTGGATTCAGGTAAGTCCGTTCCATATCTACCCGACCCGACTGTTCGTGTAGCTAACAGCGTGCATAAACCACAAGAACCCTAACTAAATAGTAGTAACAATTTCACCTAGTCCACGCATTTGTGTCGAGATTTTGGTATGGGGAAAGCAGCAAAAGAGAAACTGACCCGATCTCTAAACGAGCACCTCAACACAATCCACGAAACTCTCCAGGTGAAAATCATTATTTTTTTAATTGTTTTTTGTGATTTGAAGAACATGTTTTTGTGGGTCTTCTTGATTTATTGTGATTATCAATTTTCTTAGCAATGTTTTTTGTGCTACTGTGCAGATTTTGGATCAAACGCCAGCTTCATCTCTTAAGAAGGTTAGCTGGAATGAGGTCATTCAAATGGGTGAACAAATCTCCAAACAAGCCACTACGGGTCTCTCCCTCTCTCTCTTTGTCTCTGTACTGTTAACTCAAGCTCAATTTCTCGTGTGTGACTTCCTATTAACGTGTTGGTTTATTTGTTTTGATTGATGGGTTTTTCGTAAATTCATTTTCTCGTCAAAGAATTTTTTGACAGTTTATGAAATGCTTTGCAGTTCCGATTTGTTCACGTTTTTTCTTTGGTTATCATTATTTTGTTTGATTTCTTGAAAATTGTTATAGTTTAATTTACGGCAGTAGTTGAAGTGAGTATGTTGGGAGTGTATCAAATGGATGAGGTGCAAATACTTTTTCACACCAGTCATGAACATGATGTTTTAGTTTATTTCTTGGTGAGACTTTGTTTACAGAACTTTAGCTGTTTTGAATTCTTTGATTGGTCAATATTGCCGTTAATATTGATTGGTTTTGGCTAAATAAATAATGAATTGGTGTTGATTTTATAACTCAATACCGATGTTATAAATGTCTACATAACCAGCTTGCTCGACATTAGCTCATACTAGAAAGCCACTGTCAATAGAAAATGCTTAACAAAACTTGGCATTGCAATTGCTTCTTCATTTGACTTTAGACAGACTCATCTTCTTCCCTTTTGTCAATGTAATGCACATTAAGGAGGTGTTTGAGCCCCATTATTTTTGAAGAATGTATTTTGGAATAGTAGATTGATGGAAAATGTGTGGTTAAAAAAGAAGGAATTTTTTTTGATTTGTGTGTAATATTATTTTAATGAAGAATGTGTGATTGAAAAAAAGAGAGAGTAAAATGTATTTTGGAAAAAATGTGAATCAAACATCCCCTAAAAAAGGTTTTCCCTTACAATGGACTTATTTCAAAAGTTTGCTATGGCCTTGATAGCTTGACATCTCTAATTTTTAATTAAAGATTGCTCTCTTTTTGTGCCTCTTTTTTCATTATTAGCTGTACAAAACGTTTGTTCACGTGGACAAAGATTGAGAATATGAAATAGATATTTTGTTTGAGTCCCATTTTTTGGGAGAATAGGTTTTGTAATAGTATTTTTTGGAGAATGTGATTAAAATATAGGGAAAAGTTTTGGATTTACATGTAAAATTATTTTATTGGGAGAATGTGTAGTTGAAAATGAGTTTGAGAAAAAAAATGATTTTTTATAGGATGGGGCTCAAACAGGGGCTTAAGTTCTGCTATTCAGAAGTAAGGAGTTTCCATAACACCAGATAAGCATTGTAACGGCACTCGTTTGTCATGCCTTGGTGGGTATTTGTTGATACACATTCTTCCAACATGCTTATGGACCAAGTCAAGACTTCCAGGAGTAGACGCTGGGCCAACGACTGCCTATGATGTACAGAGACACTCCTACTAGGCTGGCATTCCATGCCCAAGGTGCATCAACGCTATCACTCCTTGGACATGGGACATGTGTCCAGCATGCCACGTGGCATGCACACATACATATACGCACACTTTCCCAATCAGGGCATGGATATGTCTGACATACCATGTGACTTGTCCTAAAAACCCATGAGATAGAAAATCTCTCCATAAATTTGTTTAAACCTACCGTATGCAATTTTAATACATGAATATTTAGATTTTATTTGGAATAGTTATACAAAGTACAAGAACTAGTTACTCCTCGAATTTAAAAAAATTCATCTCCAAAATGAAAATCAAAGTTTAAAAAAAAAAAGTATTCATTTCGAAAAATAAATAACTGTTAAAATAAAAACGTAACATGCATAGATAGAATTTGAATAGACGTGGCCCCTCTTATCTGTGTCCTGCCTTTTTGGAAAAGTTACATAACTCTGTCCATATTATTGTGTTAGAATCTCATGTTTGTGTCCGTGTCTGTGCTTCATATTTGATGGCTCACTAGAATGCTGATGGTTGATTTGAATCTCAGCCAATATCAAAATCATATTTACCCAGTAGCAATTCACTGGCTGATGGATGTTTTAAACACGTAGACTTGTAGACCAAAGATCACATTTACATAATAAAAGAATTCAACTGAAAAAAGGAAAAAGAAATGGAAGGATAGGGAGAGAGCTGTGTTTATGAATTCGTTCTTGTTGCCTTATTTAGATGTCTTGGTTTTTCAGTTCTTCCTGAAAGCTGTGGATGTCCATTGAGTAAAGTTAAAAAAATGTTTTCTATGAAATTGGCACGAGATGGTTTCGTTATTTCATTACTTTCTCTTGTAATAAGGATGTGTGGGAGACATTTTTTCCTACTTGCACATAGCCTCATATCTGGTGGTGTATTTTGTCTTTGATCTCTAATGTAGTTGGAATGCTTTACACTGGAGAAACCCCAGAAGTTAAAGTGCTTGAAGAAAATATGGATGCATACTTCAATATGCTGCAGGGCTTCCTTTTACTATCCCATGGAAGTTCAGTCGGAGCAGGACCAACCCTCTCTTCTTGCATTCATTCGTCCATAAAACAAGTTGTTGGCAGCAGTTTCATGTTGTTGAAAGAAGCAGTCTCTTCATATGGTGTTCTCTCTCTTCCAGTTGCTCTTTCTCTCAGCATGTGTACGTAATAACATGCATGACAAATCTGCGTGCATCCATGACCATGATACACTTTTTGCACAAATGTGTCAGTAAAACATAGCCTCTTCTTCATGAAAATATGATCCCATGTAGTTGTGTCATTATTGAATTGGATAACTTCCTGCTTTTATGTGGTTATGATTGTAAGTTAAATCGTCAAGTCTCCACTTCAAAAAAGGGACAGAATGTTGAAATATAATCATTCGTCTCAGATCCCTAATTTACTTGGAAATCATGGTCAGCTTGCTGTACTCTTCTTGTATTACTAGTTATAGTGTTCTCTATATATCGATATTCTCGCAATTGGCAAATACTCGGTCTTCTTATGCTAAAACTGCTGTAATAGACAAATAGCCAGATTCCTGGAAAGAAGTCCTGTTCCTGTGTAGAGTGTCATGTGAGTAATTTCCCGTTTCAGAAACAGCACATCTATTGGGTTAGAAAACTAAGCTTTTACTGGATATGCGTGTTTCTTTAATTCCTTAAGAGTAATGCCATTCAGTCTCACGGGGTGCTTAGCACCAGTCTATGAGACAGTGGGGTCACTGCCACATTTTTCAGTATATTTATAATACAGTTTGTGTATTGGCTTGGTGCTTGTGTCATCTTTTTCCAAATGACTTCTAACATTAGATCGTGCATGCGTTATTTGAGTATGCATTGTTGATCGTATTTTACTCAAAATCATCTCATTCCTTCTTCTAAATTGTGTAGGATCCCATGATAAAGCTAAAAAAGTCTCAATTCCGCAACTAGTGGGCACAGTCTGGGATGTATGTTCAGCCCTTAAGAAGACTCCTTCGTCAAATGTAGTGGCAATTGGACGAGCAATGACCCAAGTTGCAGTTTCCATCAAGGATGTTCTTCGTGAGATGAAGGAACTGAAACCAGCTTCCTTTGACCTGGCAAATGAAGCTTCTGATAAGGTAGACATCAAAGAAGAAGAAAAACCAGACGACGATAATGATTCATGTAATGAAGATCTGGGCAATGACCTGTCTCTCGAAGAGATGAAAATTGCTCATTTAGCTACCAGCGTTGTGTCTGAAACACTCGCATTTACTAAGGAACTGATTCGCTCGATTACAAGCTTGCTTAAGCAGGAGAGTGTAGATGGTTGTGCTATCTCAACAGATTCACTAGAGAAACTCTTGCTGCTGTCTCAGAAAATTGGAGTACAAGTTGATGAGCTCGGGGCATGCCTTTATCCACCACAAGAAATTTCTGCAATTAAGGCTGCTTTGGAGAAGATTTCCAGCGTTACTTGTGAAACAGAATTAGAGCTAGGAAATCTAAAAGGCTCTTCGAATGACTTTGTTACAGCTTGCACAGGTTTGAGGAATTCATTGAAACAGTTAGAATCTGAACTAAGTTGCTTAGATACAAGTATTATCCCAGAAATGGAAAATCTTGCTTTAAGCAATTAGAGAGAGGTCCACGGGTCTGTTATTGTATGGTTTTGATTATGCTGAATTTGTAAGAACTCGATCATCATGGGTTCCTCTGTTTCCCATTTTCTGGTCCTTTGACTAGTTGTGTCACAACTGAGAGGCAGAGAGACAATTCTTATTTGCACTACTCGATCTCACATTCTCGCTAGATATATTGATTTGCTTCTCGGATGGGCTTAATGCCATAGTATCAACCTTTGTGACGAACAAGTCTGGTAAGCTCACTGGTCCAAAGAGTTGTCCATGTATCAATAGAAAATACAACTGCTTCTGGTTCTTTGGCCAACGGTAACACAGCCACAGGGGACTAGATGGGCCAAGAGTGGTCGTAGAATTGGAATTTGAAAAAAACAACAAAGAAACAACATAATCAAGACATTCTTAATAGTTACTAGGGAAGAGATAGTATTGCATACTAAACGAGTACCTGTCCTTTGCATCATAAGTAGATTGGTTTTGCTAACCACAATTTCTTTGTTGGGCGTGGACCCCTATTTGTGAAGGAGTTGTACACCAAGGTGTCAATCCCAGTGTACAAGTAGCAAAATCCTAAGTAGATTTCACTAGTACAAATTGGGTTTTGATACATGTACATCAGGATTTACACTCTGGTGTACATAATGTTCAAGTGACATTTCATCACTAACAGCTGAAAAAAACGGTTGTAGAATAATCCGTACAAATTTTAGTCATGTCAAATGCCAGAATGTTGTGAATAAAACACGATCTTGAAAAATGAATTTGAACATAAAATTCAAGGGAGCTGTTCAATATAATTTGGCATCGGCCTATTCGATAAAATTACAGTTGAAAATTAGAAAGAGGGAGTGGGTGCGAAGTGAACCTCTGCTGGAGAAAAAGAATGGTATTGAAGGTAAAGGAGGTAGTTTACCACAAGCTATGCTTCACTTGATTCTCAAATAAATTGCCACCGGAGAAAAAAGTTTTGACATTTACTACACCTAGTATAAAAGAATCGAGGTTCTCTAATGAATCAATTTGATGTCTAACCTAAAGAGTGACCATTTGTAACTACGAATGCGATGAAGATTTACAGCAAGACTGGTTGCCACATTGCAAGAATCTAAAGAATAACTCAACCACAAAAATGCACTTTTCGCCACTTCTGCCTCGTCAACTTGTGCAGTTGCCATGACCACGCAGCCAAGAATATCACGAGGCTAATCCCAACAGACGTCCAAAAAATTGCCAGCCACTTGGGCATGGGATTAGGAAACAATCCTGATAAATGATCAAAAAAGAGAACATTTTTGACAGAAGAGTGCAGCAAAATCAAAAGATTGAACGAAAATAAACTAAACTAATGAATGATGATGAGATGCACACCATGTCCAAACTTGATGCAAATGAGGAGTTCCACAATGCAGATACCAAGTGAAAGCCAACAAAATGTTCCCACCTTTTTCTCCGGTTTCCTAGAAGTCATATCATTGATCAAGCAAAAAGTGAGAAAAAGAGAAGATAATAATCATATCTTGCAAACGCCAATGCTGAATATCTATACAGAATGATACAGAACTGAGAAAGGTGAAAAATACCTGTCCTGCAGGTAAGAATTGTATTCACGAATCGTGGGTATTGCAATAAGCCACCAAAAAACCAACCTCCACACTATGATGGGGTTTCGAGGAGGAATCCAAAGGCAAAACTTGAGAAAGAACGTGTTGAGTTCCACAGTCAAGAAAACTATGCAAAGGCTGAGAACTTGAATAAATCGTAATGGACCAAGAAGAGGGTGCCATTCATCTTTGTCCCACCTTGCAGGTGTAAATTGACCCAATGTTCTTTTGACCTGAAAATCAAATTGAAGTAATTAAGTATCCTGTTTATATAAGATCATAATCAGCGACTTTTTATCTTCTTACGGTTTACCAAAATAGAATTTCGAAGGAATAAAAGATGGATATAGAAAGAGAGAGCAACATGATGAGGAATGAGGTGTCTAGCTGCATCCAAAACCTGGCATAGGAGATACAAGGGAGTTTAAGGGTAGAAGCCCACCTAATAACGAAAGATGGTGGTGGAACGAGAAGGTTCATGTGGCACTAAAGGATAAAAGAGTGCTATAATAAATTTACTAATATATAACCATATGGAGACTTTTGGAAAATGTTTAAATGACTAAACATTGAAGCTAAAGAGTTTCGGGATACGTAGGAAAGCATATGAGAAGTTCTATAGATAACTTCGAACCAGGTTGGGGCAGAAGCTATTTGAAGATATCTTGCAGAGAAAGTAGAGATCTAAAGCATGTCAAACATAAAGACCAAAGTTGTTTAATGATGCATAACCCCCAATTCAATTCAAACATATATCAGAAAATTAAAGGAAATGAGACAGAAATTCTAGAAGAAAACGTCGCAAATAAGCATACTTTTCTGATAAGGTTTGGCTGCCGGCTTATACCAACCCATTCGTAAGTTCTACCATCGAAGTACCTAACAGTACGCATTCCTGCCCAAATACCTGTGGAGCAACAATAAGAAAACATTTTACATTCTATATTATCCTTGAAACAGTAGGCTTTGCATAACATGGTATCACTATGTATGTATGAAGATAAAGTTCCACCGTCCACGGTCTTCCCTCTAAGGGCTGTTAGCAAATAACACTTTTGACAAATATAGATGCAGACAAGACCTTAAGTTTATATCGACAAGCTAGGGGAAGATGCAGTGGAGACCCGGTTTGTTTGCTTTACAAGATTTCCTTTACCGTAGGTATTGGATGAGTAACTACTACATCCATACCACTCTTTAGCCTACCCTGAACCTACTCAACCACCCACCCAGGAAAAAAAAATGAAAAAGAAAAAGGAAGCTAGTACCACACGAAATTTCTAAATGGCCGGTGGTCTCCAGTACCTCTTGTTTAGACTTCTGGAAAACAATGATCATAAATGTTCTAGCTAACATCATAATGTTTTGAATATACAGCAGCAGTTTCAATAATACCTTCGGACACCCACAAATACACAGCATACCAAGTGCTCTGATCTAAGCTAGTCACAAAATGTACAAAATAAACCGACAACAGATATATTGTCATTGACTTCTATAGTATCCTAGTTCCCCAAAGGACTTAAAGGCGCTAGAACCAGCTCGATAACAGTGTTTTGATTATTTCATAAAACCAAGTTGGAAAGAAGCAGACGAGAACTTCAACTTCCAAGATTGAAATGTAGCAATGAGCATTTCAAGCTTCAGTTCTAACTTTATTTTATATCTCTGTCTAATGATCTATACAATGTTACCTTCTTTAATTCTTATTGTCTTTCCATCTGTTCATGATATTTCAAAATAATCAAGTCCTTGCTTGGAGTACTATCGATGATTATTAATTTCACTTAGTTGCACATTAAATGAATCAAAAGAAACGTCATCCCAAAAAATGTTTGCTTGAACTAGAAAATCGATGATGATGCATAATGGCAGGTGGAAAGAGCAACTTATTGTAAGTCCTTTTCTAATCATAGTATGGAGAGAGGTTAGGAGTTCAAAACCATTACTGTAAACAATATGTAGAGTTACTTGGTCGGAAACTCAGAAAAATGGGATCGTACTAGACTTGGGGTTCCATGTTAAAGGTCAACATTGTTAGAGGAATAAATCGAGTTCTTATATGTTGGTTAATATTTTCATAATTAATCAATGTGGGATTTATCATTTAACATGCACCTACAAGATAGTAGCTTATTTGAGCACAACAATCTTCGTATTCATGTGCTCAGTTGAGTCTTAATCGAATTGCATTATTTATTGGAGCTTATATCAACATTGTTAAGAGGAGTAGCCTAAGTCTTTATATGTTATAGTTACTATTTTTTATATTTAATCAATGTGAGATGTATCCCTCAAAAGATGGTTGATAGCACTCTAAGAAGGTGATTAATCAACCTAACTTGAGGTGTTAGAATCATGTTCATTGTATTGTCCAATCATGTCCAATATTGCGAATCATACATAGTCAAATAGTTTATGGAACAAATTAACAATCTTTGCCTCATAACATAATCAATAAGAGAAAAGCTCAATATTCTTACCAAACCAATTGCAGATTAATATATCAAGAATAATGCTATCCCACCAGCATTCGTTGAAGTTCGGCAACATGTGGCGGAAGGTTAGCTGAAAGCACCAGCATAAATATCCTCTTAATGAACTAATTAACATTTTCTTGGAACTGAATATATAGCAACAGAATAAAACACACAGAAGGAGTTAAGTTTAGTTTTGACCTCCATCAACTCAAATCCAATTGAAAGTACCCACAAAAGAGGCTGATTGCGAATCATGATAGCTTTCCCCCACCATCCAAGAATATGGGCCAGAACAAACTCATCGAAAAGTGTCTCCTTAAAAATCAAAATAAAACATAATCCTTCAGCTCCGGTAGGATGATAATGTACAACATATAACAAGAAAAGGTTAACAAAAAAAACATGCATTAAAACAGATGTAGCCAGATAAAAGATTACGAAAGAAGATGTCATACATAAACATTCTTAAACCTGTTTGTAGGATTTTCAGGCACATAAATTCGGCAATCAGCACCGTAGGATCTTTCAGGAAGTTCTGCATAAGAGAAATTGCAAGTAATTAAATACCAAAAATGTTTACAAACTTGCATTAGCGATCTAATTCTTATAGACTAACTAACAAGAATGAAGGGTGTGCATTGGCACCACCAAGACAAGCAAGCAAATTCATGTTCATCTGTAAAGAACGTTGAAGGTACACTACTTACCAACACCAAGATAAGGATGCAAATATTTCATAAATTGCCGAGCATCATCACGCCTCTGGAAACAATGAAAAATTAACACGCATCAGAATAAAATGTCTACAAAAACGAATCAATGACTAACTATTGTTACCAAAGAACGATCAAAAGATAATTCCCAAAGGAATTAATACAAAACATGTCCCAGAAATACGTCTTTGTAGTTATTATGTACTGACTAAAACACAACAAACAATAGTAACTAACCTGAAAAAGCAAAAATGTCAATGCAACGAGGTATATAACAGCTATTCCATGAACAAGGCGCCAAATCGCAGGGTGTGGCCTGACTAGTACTCTGTAAGCAAATAAGAAAACCTTGAGCAAGAAGCCCAAAAGGTTATAGACATTATAAAAAAGTTAAGGTAAGCATCAAACACCCAGTGCAAAAACGAAAGACCTTTAACTGGAACTAATCCCTTCAAATTGTTGCCTATAATTTGACAAACAGTGCAACAACGAAAGACCTTGCAATAAATAATTTAAAGAGCCATAATTTTCTTTTATTAGTCTTGAAGCATGGTCACTGAAGAAATACATCATTTTGTTTAAATTATAATCTTAAAATAAACTTTTACTCAATTTGACAGGTGCTTAATAGAAAAAGAATTTAGTAACAGAAGGAAAGAATAAACAGACTCAATCGTGGATTTTCGATATTAACGTCCAAGTAACACTGCAGGTAAATCATTGAAGCATTTCCCTCTCCGTATAATTTCAGTAATGATTGGCCACTAAAAGATTCTGAAATATTATGCATTCCCCTATCTAAGATGACCAAGTGACGGTCCATCAAGGACACTTCCTTTTCTTGCTTCAACTTCAAAACAAAAGAACTTTGTTAGAACACAAAAAGATTTATGTTCTTATGTTCGCAGTACATGTTATTAATTTCTGATTCATGATAGATTGAACACTAAAAGATATCTATATTTGGATGAGTATGCAGAGGTATAAAAATTTACACCAGATGTTATTCTTCGTTTTCATTTTGTGTGCATGGACTGGAAGAACTCAAAACAGAAGGTAGCTACAATCCCTTTACCAAGCATCACATTTTCACAAGTCTTCACAAACCATATTTCGACATCTGATGAGTAATTAAGCTAGATTTTTAGAAAATGGATCTACTTTAACTTTTTGCACGCAAGAACTGTCAGACAATTCCTTCAACCAAAAATTATAAAGCTTAGAAGTGTCGGGATAAACCAAAGATATTTACAAACATCAAAATAGTCCAAACCTCATAGTGAAGGCCAAATCGTGCAGTAACAAGAAAGCATAACAACTTACGTAGAAGGAGCTTGCAACAAACAATACGCAAGAAACACTGCAATCATTGCCCACGTACCCCTACCAAAATAAATACCCAACAATCTTTAGACTCTTCAACATGTAAGTTCATGAAGCAATGGTAACATAGCACGTGCATAATCAAGCACATACCTTTTCACGGAAGTAACAAGATCAATTGCTGAACTACATTCGGGATCAAGTGCTCCACTTGTCAATCTGGTAGAATTTTTGAATATACAGAATTAGAATGTACAACTAAACTTTGCACTTTGCAGCCCTATATCACTGTGATATAGTGAAGCTTCTCATAATCGTTGTGTACTTCTCCAAAACCAAAGAACTGTTTATGAATGCCAGAACCAATCGAAAATGAATATATGTAATCATCTTCAAAGAAAGAAAAATTGAAGGGAAAACTCTAAAAATACAAGTCAGATAATCAACTCATTCCATCAAGAAGAGAACCACAAAAATTATAAAAGGAGAATGGAAAAGAGACTAAACTTACAGATTAAGCAACTTACACTAGGAAACATGCACCTATTAGTAACATTGTAATGGTATGAGGTTTGTAAGCCAAAGCAGTCCATGGATCAAGCTCGTTATCAACGCTTGATGTGCTCATGTCACCATTTTGATGAGTGGTAAGATCCTTGTGTCTAGGTCTCCTATTACCATTAAGTTCCATCGCGCAGAACCCACAAGATTCAGTTTCCTCACTGCAGATGAAGAGATGGAGCAAATGGGATTGTCGATTATTGTAATAAAGTATCATAGAATTAAATTATGAAACCTAAGTTTCCAGAAGAGACACGAATGGTGTAATGACACGAAGAAACTAAGTCAAATTAAAGGTCATTACAGTTAGTTATTAAAGAAGTAGACAACAATTCGCACACTGCAACTGATGCATTCATTTAAATATCGCACGTCAAGAAAACAGTAAAACAATTAGTGTTTGCAGCCAACACGATGAAGGTCCATGAGGCTAAATAATGTTTCGACAGTTGATGGCATAGCATCTTCATCACCCCAATGATATTCTTCCCCTCAGTTAATATGACACCAATCCCTGTTTGCATCTAAATCAATGCTGTAATTTAAAGAATAGCTAAGAGCACAAACTAGTTATATTCGACTACAGTTCCCACCCAACCCAACAACAACAAACTAACACCATGTTTGGCTAAGCTTAAAGGTGCTTTTAATTTAAGCTTAGCCGAACATGCTTTAAGTCTTATTCTTACAAATTTTGTTGGAATACATGAATATTTTTTTCATCACTCTATCTATGCTATGTCTATCGAAACATCCAATTCAAAAAAACTCTTCGTTAATTTCGGTATATACCCCTCTCTCTGTGATCTCTTCCGGTAGGAAAAAACTCACATCTCTCAACACAATGACAAAAATATTCTCGGGCAAAGTAATTTGAAACACAGTGCAAAGGTACTACCAATGAGCAAAACTTCAAGGCCAGATTTTACAACTTTTATTTGACATCCTTTACCATATACAATACTTGGCACTACACTAAATTTCAACTTGAGAAATTACCACCATTTACCTCGTATTCATTACTTCTACAAAGGGAAAGATCCACGGCTAATATCAAATAAAAAAAAAATTCCCAAACAAGATGTCCAAATGCTACCAGTACAGAATTAAATACCAAACAAAATTCTTAAACGGAGAAATTCGATGCTGAGCAGTAACAGACTAACAGTCAAATTGAACAACAGTATTTATCGCAAAGTGAAACGGTATTTCAAAACCCTCACATCCATTATAAACCCTAATTTGCCTTTAGTAGACGATGAACAGTAAAAGCAGTGCAGAACACAGTACACTGAAGTTAAAAAATTCCGTGTAAAATTCACAAACTGCCCACAAAATGATTAAAAAGGTGAAAAAGAAAAGGCAGACTGAGTTCACTGTCAATCCCCACATTTAACAAAACCCAAAAAGAAAAATCTAAAAAATTTCAATGCATGCAATCGAAAAACAAGAAAATTAACGAGTGAAACTTCAAATGAAGTACTCAAATAAGACCCAGAAAATCTTATTCCGTTTTGAAAAATGATGTGTTCGTAAAAATAATGCCGAACCAGATTTCTTTCCATAGACAAGTTATGAACAGTGCATGCGAATAATTGCAGATTTATAAAGAAAGCCGAACACGCACAACTACTTACAGAAATGTAGAGAGAGAAAAAGCTGTAACACATGAATCCACGTTTGTGCATATCTTTATGTACGCAAACATACCCTTAAAACAGACGATTAATTACATAGTATGCTTAAAGGCTAAATGCACTTAATTTTTCGTTCACTTACGTAAAGGGAAGCTGAAAAACAATCCTCAGTCGCACGATTAGATAACGAACTAGGAAGCAATATCAACCGTTAATCAAATAAAGAGAAAGAAGGTTAGAATAGTGCAGAAGGAGAGAGTGTTATCGAGATTTGAAGAAGAAAGTAATGGCAGAAAGCCTGAAACTAAAAAAAGACAACTCTCTCTCTCTCTCTCTCTTCCTGTATGTAGATAATATGCATAAAAGTGAGCGCTTATATGAACCTGTATAAAAGTGAATTTGCAGTGAGCATCAAGAACAAGAGAGAAGAGAGAGAAAGGGAAGAGAGATTTTCAAGATTTGTGTTTTCAAGTTCAAGTTCAAAATTTTAGAGAGAGAAAAATTGGAGACTTTCTGTTGACTAATGATGACATAGCAATTACAGGTGGAATAATTGACGTACATGTTAGGAAAAATTAAGGATGGGCTCCTCAACTTTCTACAAAGTATGGTTATGAGTCATTTCATTTTTAAAAATGAGGTTTTAAGTCCTTAACCTATTTAAATCTGTGAAACAAGTCCTTAAGTTCCTGAAATCGTCAATATATAGATATTAAATTAGGATCGCATAGCCTATTAAAATCAAACGAACAATATCATAGTTTGAATGTTGAAGATTCTTAATCACATCAAGAAAAAGATGAAAATGAGCAATTCAATTAAGATTCAAACGAGCACATTGATTTTAAAATTGATATGATCAACCAAGTTATCATCTTACAGTGCATGTCGAGAGATGAATAAATATAAAAACATGAATCAACGTATAAAAATTTGATTTATTCCTCTTAACAAGATTGTCAAGAGAATCCCAAATATATATATAGGATAGAGCATTCCGATTGGGAGAAGGGAACTGCAATAGATCTTGCGACTGGACTGAGCGTTCAATTGGATGAGAGAAGCAAACTAGATGAATGCAAGTTCAGTCAATAGTCCCCGGTATTAGGCTCGGGCCCAGGTTCACTATTCTATATAAACCTGTAAATATTTATTGGAATGATATATTAATACACTTCATACATTAATTAATTAATTCATACCTCCTAAATTTTGACCAATTATAAGGCTGTCACTGCTGGAATTCTCATTTATTTTCATGTCTGAAGAGGTAATTTCCTCTTTCTAAGAATAAAAAAAATATTATTTTATATATAATTGTAAACTATTGGATAAGAAGTACGGGTATATAAATAGTTGGACTATGAAAATATTCTTATTTATATACGATTATCTCCACACAGTTCATATTTTTATTTCTATTTAACCTAATTATTATCAAAATCGGAAAAAAAAAAAAAAAAAA